AGCAGTTAAGAATAATAAGTATGGACATCGTGCATGGCTAATATTGAAAAATTATTACTCAAGTTTTCTAAGGATATGCTCAATTGGCATTGTACTTAGTGATCTGCACGGGCCTAATTTTTTAGGCCCGACCCGGCCCGAAATTTTTTTTAAAAAATTTTTCCCGGCCCGGCCCGAACACGAATTTTTTTTAGAAACTTTTGCCGGCCCGGCCCGAACCCGAATTTTTTTTAATTCATCCTAAAGTAATAATTATATTTTTTTTAGCTTTTAGTTTATTTTTTATATTTAAGATTTTGTTTTTGCAAAAAATATCTTAGTAAACAGAAAATTTATTTAGTATTTAATTATTTATTTAAAATACTATCAAAAATACCTATAAACCAAACAATAATTATAATGTTAAATTACACAACTATATATTAGATTCATATTTATAATTATCATTTAAAAATATCAAAGCATCAACATTTTCTGGTGACAGTCTATTTCTTCTTTCGTCTAATAACCTTCCAGTCTTTGAAAAAGTTCTCTCTGAAGTTGTGGACGTTGCAGGAATTGCTAGAATTTTTCTAGCCAATTTTGTCATCTTTGGTAATCTAATTTCATTTTTATTCCACCATTTTAATATATCTTTTTCTGGATCTATATTTTCATTATTCTCTTTTATATTTAAATTCTTATAAATTTCAAGCTCATCTGTTTCTTTTTTTTCATATTCTTCCTCATTGTCCTCCCATCTTTCATATTCATTGCCTGATATATAAAAATAATATAAATAGAACAATTTTAAATGTACCTTTAGATCTTTTAGGCGATTCCACAATTTGAGAAACGCCTTGAATATCCAAATCTATAATATCAATTGAAGGACAATATTCTTCAGAATTAATTATATTTTTGACTGAATTCTCTACTTCTAATATTTTCATTGATGATAACATTCTTAATTTTCTATATTTGGGGCATAAAAATGTCGCTATTTTATGCAAAATATTGATTTTAAATTTAGATAATAAAAAATTTTTTAAATTGGTTTTTATTTCTTTTATTTCATTGTTTTGATAAAATGAATCATTTAAATCCTCGTGAAGAATATTATTAAAGCATAGCAGTACTTTATGTAAAGTAGGATTAATATCTCCTTCTAGTTCTTTAGTAGCTTTATCAAAAGGATATAAAATATCAATCAAATTTTTCAAAATAGATTTCTCCAAGTTTTCCATTTTATTAATATCTCCCTTGGATGATAAAAAATTGACGATGTCATCATATTGGTTATAAATAGATTTCAACATATTTAATTTTGAATTCCATCTAATTTCGATATCTTGTTGTAATGTTTTGTCTAAATATTGATTCATGCCGGTTTGTTTAAAATACATGGTTAATTTTTTAGCAGAAATAAGGGTTTGATATATATTAGGAGCGATAATTTTCAAAGATTGTTCCTTAAAGGTATTTCGAAGAACAGTATTTAATAGATATGCGCTGCAATTTAATCTGGTGTATTTTTCTAGGGCTTTAATTATATTAGCTCCTTGATCAGATATAAATATTATATTTTTCACTTGATCGGGAATTATTCCAATTAAATCAAAATTTTGTAGCATTTCCTTATGTATGTTCGCGGCGGTTTTTTTCTTCTTTAAACTTATTCGTAAATAAAACATGTTTATATAAGGTTTCACCTTCGATATAATGAATTGAAACAGTTAAATAGGAAAACTTTTTAAAAGAATCTGTCCACATGTCTGTTGTAGCAGAGCATTTTTTATCAAATAATTGAACATTTATTTTATTAACCAAATTTGTTCTAATATGATCCGTCATAACTATAGCATTTCTCGATAAAGTAGTTGGATGGGGAATAATTTCGCTACAGTCAATATTACCGTAAATGGAGCCAATTTGAATAAAATTTTGAGCCATTTTTATAAAGCCATCTCCAGTTATCGAATCAAAGGCACGCATGTCCTTGGCGCAATAATAGATCAAGGTATCACATAGTTTCTTTTTAATAGTTAAGGAAGAATTTAGATCTATTTTCTTTTGAATATACCTAGTTATTTTAGGAATAGAGGAATCGTCATTCTTAAAGCACTTGTGACGTCTTAAATGAGAATTTCCAGATGTGCTTTTATATTGTAATATACTATTACATTTTTTACATTGGACGTAATCAAGTTTTTTGTTTTTATCATCAAATATGTCTTCAAAATTTTCCCATATATTGCTTTTACCTAAATGGGGCATACAAATATATGTTCCATTTTGTATTTGTTTTTTTAAAAAAATTAAATTCAAAAATTTAAGTTTTATAAAAAAACATTTAAATTATTTTACCCATAATAAAATATATATGACATATGGCGTCTACTTTCTAAATAAATAAAATTAAATATTTATATTTTACAAATAAAAAATGTTGCCGCCTTGTTTCTTAAAAAAAAAGTTTAATTATATATTTATACCAAGAATAAAAGATACATGCCATCATATGGCGTCAAGCTTCTTCAAATAAAAAAAAATATTTTTAATTTACAAAAAATATTAGTGCTAATATTAAAAATTTTTATTAGGCCCGACCCAACCCGAACCCTAATTTTTTTTTTAAAGTAGGCCCGAACCCAGCCCGAAGCCCGTTCGGGCCGGATTCAGGCCGGGCCTACTTTTGCAGATCTCTAAGTACTATTTATAATTTTACAAAAAAGGTTTATTTAAATAGTGATAAAACCTCTGGTTCAGCTTTTTGACTATTCTGTCCAAAATATATGAACTGCAACCATGATTACATATGGGCATTTTATTTGGCTGATGATTAAAATAAATTTTAACGAAATGGTAACAATCAATTAGTGGTAGTTGGTTTGTCTCGATTTATAAGTGATATTGATTTTGAAGAAATTTAATCAATTTAATAAATAATAAGCGGCATCCTAATGATTATGATATCTGGACTTATTCTTGTACGATATTTGCAAGAAATAATTAAAAAATACTTTTAGCGTTCTGGGGTTACTCATTGATAAAAGGAAAATGGTTTTTGCATTGAGTTTGCAGAAATAGCATGATTATTTCTCTAATTATAAGAGCCACTTTGAATCTACATGAACCCAGGTTTCTATTGTTATCTTATTTCCTTAAACCGACGCATTGTTCCTATTGCTTAAGGTAGTAGATGAATATAGAAAATGGTTAGAGATAGTAATGCTAGCCAATTAAATATGGAATTAAATAGTTTTGGAATGCCCATAAGAAGAGTTGGGCAGTACCGCGTATATATATCTATGATCATAAAAATTTGTCATATTTGATCCTGTCTAGTAGTTTTTTTTAAATGGCTCTTGAGCCGATTTTTAAAAACGGTTAACTCAATATTTTCGCCAGAAATCGAAATTTTGCTACTAGATGTCTAAATCTTTGTGCCATCTATTGGCATAATCTACAGCGTAATTTTATCCTGAATAAAATATTGAGATTTGCAGATATTGACTTTTTGTGTTTTGCCGTAAATTTTTTAATTAAAAAAACATAACGCATCCCGTGTATTGAAGCTGCTTTTTTATATATTAGTAACGTATAAAATTTTAATATAGAGAAAAAAAATTGGGTTTTGTAAATTATATTATCGTCTGTCTTTTTATTTCATTAATTTCCGAATATATGATTTCAAAAAATAAGTTTTTTTTTTTTTACATTTAATATATTAAAACAACTAGGAAGAAATTTTTAGTGCCCTCCCCCCAATTCTTATCATAGTAATAGTTTAGTCAGCATTCTTCCGGATAAAAACCAGCTTCTAAAAAACTGGTAGACCAGTTTGCGTTTTTTAAAATTGTTTCTAACGCCAAGCGGTAATTTGGTCAATTTGCATGATACCATTTGAAATGCAGTGTTTGAAACGCTAAATTTGTGCTTTAATATTATTATTCATTTGATATGTAAAATGATAGTTTTTAAACTACCATAATCGTCGTCAATGTAAGAAATCTTCATTTTTTACAAACATGGGGATAGGTAGGGATTTCAACTTCCAGCCTTCTATAAAAGGTTCAATAAAAAGTAAATAAAAGAATAACCAAGAAAAATAAAACTTAACTAAAAGCCAACGAATCAAATTTTAGTGATATCCAGATATTTCCTCAAAATCAAATAAAAAAATTTCCCAGTTAAAAATGAAAGAATGGATGAGGATTAAGAATGATCTGCCTGGATTTTAAAACTAATGGGCGGAGAATTTTTAATATCGTGGATTAAGATACACCCACGGTCAGCGTCTACATGAGCGGGAGGGGTAGGATCAGTTAGCATTCTATTTTTTGAGGGGGGTAGAATAAATTTTTGGGGGGTTATCTATTAAATTTTGAGATGAAATAACAAAATTTATTGCTGTAAAAATTAATAATTTTATTATAGAATTATTATAATACAATTCATCGATCAAATCTATATATTGCAAACAATCATACACATTGTTTTCCAAATAAAACTTTCTAAGGTTTAAATATTTCAGCAAGCTCATGCCATATTAATTAATTCATTGTAAATAATGGAGGTTTAATTAAATTTATTATCTAAAAAATAAATTCTTTATATTCACAAAATATCGATAGTTGGTAGTAGAGATAGATTAATTTAAGTTATCCTTTATAAATTATCTGAAAAGAGTATCTATATAATTAAAAAGGTGAAAATAATAATGGGGAGATACAGCCGCCGATGGGGGCGAAAATCTTTTAGGGGGGTAGGCAAAGGTTTTTGAAGGGGTTTGCATCCAGTGAAAATTCTGTCATGTAGACGCTGCCCACGGTAGCCCTCAATCTTAAATTTCTATCTTAGGTTTGATAAATAACAGCATTCGTTTATTAGTCTCAAAGATAACCTTTTAAATTGGACCTTAGCAATAATGCTCCCTCAAAAAAAGAGCCAATTTTATTTAAATTTTTTAATTATCATAAGGATTAAAATTCTAAAATAAATTATTTTATCCCATAGTTTATATTTATTTGAATATTTTATAAATACGACTATTGAATTGTAGTACAAAAAAAATCATAATATTGAGCATGATAATCTTTATAAAAATAAATAGAAAGATGATATAAAATTATAAATTGAGATGACAATTTGTTTTTAAAAAAAATGAAATAAATACATATAAGGTTATAAAATATAAGTCTAATACTATCCAATATATTTTTTTTAAAAATGGAAAGAATAGTATATTATAATTTAAAAAAAAATAAATATTAAAAAATTAAAAGATGGAATCAATATACTGAAAAATTATAAAATATTATAATTGATTAGGATTTTTAAAGGCAGTGTTCATATTTTTATATTAATAGTATTGATAGGGTGGTCATAATCCCAAAACAAATATAAACTATGTTATTAAAAGTTAGATTATAAATTTTTTCAGAGTAAAAAAAAATATATATATAAAATAATGACTGTATACCAATGTAAATAGTAAATATAATATGTTATTTATTTATTAGAAAATGAGATTAGATTTAGTCCTCTTTGAGATTGGTTCCATCACCTGTTGCAGCTACTTTTTCAGTATTTCCGTTTAGGGAATGATCTTTCCACTTAGGAGATTGAAGGTTGGTCAAAACTTTTTTTCTTTGTTTAAGCATGTATGTGTAGAGGAAGAAAAATCCTGATAACATTTTAAAAAAAAGTAAATATAAATAGTATTAATATATTGGTATATCGTAATGAAGAAATTTAGTAATTCGGGCATTATTATATAATCCGATTTCTTAACTATTTTAGAGATTGGATAAGGAAAATACGCGAGTGACTAGAAAGTCCGTTATCCTTTTCTACATAATATAATCTGGGTTTAACATTTTCCCAAATTCAAAAATCTTACCAGATCGTGGCGCTTTTGAAGATCAAAATGTGCGAAAATATTTTTGCAAAAAAAAATTTTGAACTTGCTCAAATAAGATTATTGAGCAAAATATTTTGGAAAATTTTATAATATAATAAATTCTTTTTGTGATTTCTGTAAAAATAAAATATAAATGTGAGAATTAGTCATAATACCTGTATATTTTTTACTATTTGGAATAAGTAATATTGATCATATTAAAAATGTATTTCCATAATTCTAATGTTTTATATTTAATGTAAACTATAAAAGTGACTGACAATTTTCATAATAATCATTCAGAACCTTTAAAAATAATTTTAGTCAAAATAGGGTAGTTGAGCATGTTTCGAGATGGTTTCAGTGATTGTAAAGCATATAAAGGTGACAATTGTCATAATACTTATTTCACTTATGTTTTAAATAAAAATAGGGGAAAATAATTATTTAAAACATTTTTTGACATAATTTAAATGTATTAATATTTAATGTAAACCATGAAAGCGACAATTGTTATAATACTCATCTCAGAACCTTTAAAAATAATTTTAGTTAAAATAGGCTGGAATAAATATTTTGAGCATAATTCGAGATGGTTTCAGTGATTATAAAACATATAAAAAAAACTAAGGTAATAATTGTCATAACACTTATCTCACAAACTATTATTTTAGTAAATTAAGAATTTTAATGATAATATAATACTTGTAAAGGTGACAATTGTCATAATGCTCAATATCATATTTTTTTTTATATTATAAATAAGTAAAAATAATAATTTTAAAAATGTTTAGACATAGTTTTAATGTATTGATATTTACTGTAAACTAAAAAAGTGAAATTTATCTGATATTCAACTCAGAACCTTTTGAAATTATTTTAGAATATATATTTTTTAAAATTGTCATATTAATGATTTCCATTATTTTTAATTTAGGTTAATATGATCATGTTGTTGGAAAAACTAAATCGTCTGTGTGGATGATACTAGTATCATATATGTAAAATGTTTTGACATAACCGTGATGGAGTTCGACTAGAAAGATGTATTAATATAATATAAACATTATATTTTGAGGACAATATTTTAAAATATTTTTCCTTTAACCTTTTAAATCAATTTTATATCTTAGAAATTACCATTTGGCTAATTCTAGTAAGATAAACCCCCCCCCCCATCCCCACATTAATACATAATATCTACTGATATTGTTATCATCAAAATCAGTCATTTTATTATATAAATTTTTATTTAATAAAATTACAATGTAAACTATAATTATATAATAAAATAGATTATATAAATAAAATTTAAAAAATCACATTATTTAACAATGTACGAATTAGCTTTATAATTAAATTATCATCCAGTGTACCCTTATCTAATCGTGTCCATAGAGAAGTTATAGTTAGTGCTAAACCACTAAATGCTCTCTCCACTGAGACTTGGGCGCAAGGAGAGGCTAGAATTACATGAGACAATTTAAATAATTCTGTACCTTGATGTTTTCTTGAAAGTCAATATTCCACAATATCTTGGTTGATGGCAATCTTTTGTTATATAATAGAGAATTTATTTTAAGCTATTCCCAAGTTCATAGTAAAGAGGCGTCTTTTTCCAATCTCGCTCGATGTAGAGGTCAAGTTTAGTTTTTTTTAATCTTTTGTGGGAGGCAAAATTAAGGATAGAGTTTCTTTGTAAGGGTCAACAACTTGGAAATATTTTCAGGTTGCAAATATATGTTCCTAAAATAAAAAAGTGGTATATTATAAGTTTTTTAATTTATCCTGGCCAATATTTTATTGTCTTTGGAAGGATATTTCCCATTTTCAAAATGGAATCTTGGATCCATATATATAGCGCTTCGAAAAGCATCATTTTAAAATAGAAAACTTTCTCTTATGTTCAAACATTCTATCATATTTTTAGACAACTCACTATCAATTTTATCTAACTCCATTTTGCATTCCAACGAAGACGCAAAAAAATTTATCAATTACTATATCTTTTTTTGTAATTTTATAGTGAATATGAATAATGGCAATAGGACAGATGTGCCTAATCGGATTATATCCCATAAATCTGAATTAATAAAAGTTTCTGGGTATAACTCACTCATTTTAACATAAAAATTGTTATTATCTGTAAGATTTTTTAACATAAGATATGTACTATTCCACCTAGTAATAGTATCTAGAGTGAATTTAGAAACTTTATCCATTAAAAATAATTTTTTATACTTTTGAGATTTAATTAATTTTATGATATTACGAATTTTGACCAAATCTAATTTTAAATATTTTTTAATAAAGCTGTTTACGGCTAGTTGTATCGTATGAGCAGAGCATCTAACACAGCTTAGACCTAGCTTTTACTAATGTTACCTAATATTTTTTCCGTATTATCATAATAGTCGTCAATAACCTCTGGTATATCTTCATCAGAGTAAACTGAGATGTTTTCATCAATACATTAATTTTTCTGATCACTTACACTTGTATCAAAAATTATTTGGTTCAAATTGTTTTCATTAGAATTAGATAAATCAGTATCATTATTTAATTAATCTCTAGCTATAATGTCAAGCATATTAAGCATATTGGCGCCGTTATCCACAGTAATAATATATTTTAAATCAAGCTGGTATTTTTTTTAAAAATTGTTTGGATTTATTTCTTTGGATTAATACCTGTATGAATTTTTAGTAGTTCTATCATTCTTAGTGTTCGCACTATATTTTTCTAGCAAATCTTAAAAGGCACAAAACCTCTCAGCACCCAAACATAATGAAAGCAGATGAATCTAATAGTGATTCCTCCTTAAATGCTAGGAATAACAGCAAAAGGAAAATTCCAAAAAATTATGATCGATAAATCAAAAGTAGTTCAAAATACTTAAATGACATAATAAAGAATAAATAATCATTTTTTTAGGTTTTCGAATGTATGATACGGTTGATTACAGTTAATAATTTACCCATTAATATGGTCAATTATGAGGGTTTCCATATTTTACTAGACCCTATTGGTCATTCACTACATATGGAAATAAATTCTCGATCAGTGGTAGACAAAATAAAATATACCGCATCCGAAATTAAACTTTAAATCATGCGTGAATTAAAAAACTAGCTGATTTTTTTCAAAAATGAAATAGCTCTACTAGATATAATAGATCAATATTAGGTATTAATGTTCAATATATAAAAGATGGCCAGATAGAAATGCGAACACTAGGAATGATAGAACTACTAAAAATTCATACAGGTGTTAACTAAAAGAAGAAATCCATACAATTTTAAAAAAATAACAGATTGATCTAAATAAATATATAGCATTACCGTGGATAACGGCGCGAATATGATTAAAATAGTTAATATTATGGCAAAAATGATTTATCAAATGTTGCTGTAAACAATTTCAGCGAAATTTTTGATATAAGTGTGAGTGGTCAAGATAATATATGTATTGATGAAAACATCTCAATTTCCTCTGATGAAGAAATACCAGAAGATATTGACGACTATTATGACAATACGGACAATATATTAAACGACATGAGCAAAAGCTTTGGTCTAAGCTGTATAAGATGTTCAGCTCATACTATACAATTAGCTGTGAATAGTTTTATAAAAACATATTTAAAATTGGATTTAATCAAAATTCGGGACATCATAAAATTAATAAAATCTCAAAAATATAAAAATTTATTTATAATGGATAAAGTTACCAAACCCACTCTAGATACTATTACTAGGTGGAATAGTACATATCTCATGTTAAAAAATCTTATAGATAATAAAGAATTTTATGTTAAAATGGGTGGGCAATAACTAGAAACTTTTATTAGTTCAGATTTATGTATATAATTCAAAGGCATATTTCTATTGCCATTATACATATTAACTAAGAAATAATATAAAAAAAATATTGTAATTGGTGGCCTCTTGGTTAGAATGCAAAATGGAACTGGAAATAATAAATGTCAGATGATGGAAAATACTGTGCCAGACATTTCTCGGAAACCGAAATATTCCTAGAGAAATACTTACTGAGCTCGCTAACTTTGCTGTGTATAATAATTCAAAGGCATATCTCTATTACCATTATACATGTTAACTATGAAATTACAAAAAAAAATATAATTGGTGATATTTTTGCCGCTTGCTAGAATGCAAAAAAGGAATTGGAAGAAATGGATAATGAATTATCTAAAAATATGTTAGAATGTTTGAACATGAGAGAAAGCTTTCTCTTTCAAAATGATGGTGCTATATATATGGATCCAAGATTCCATTATGAAGATGGAAAATATCCTTCGGAAGACGATAAAATATTGGCAAGAGTAAATTAATAATTTATAATATACATCCTTTTTTTAGGAACATATATTTGCAACCTGGAAACAATTGCAAGTTTTGGACCCATATAAAGAAAGTCCAACCTTGATTTTGCCTCCTACAAAAGATTATAAAAAAAACCAAATTTGATCTCTATATCGAGCGTGATTACAAAAAAGCGCCTGTTTATTATGAAGAGGGGAATAGTGATATTTAACTTAAAATAAAGTCTTTGTTATATAACAAAAGACTGCCATCTAACCAAGATATTGTGCAAAATTGGCTTTCAATAAAATATCAAGATACAGAATTATTTAAATTGTCCAAGATATTCTAGCCTCTCTTGCGCCCAAGTCAGTTGAGAGAGCATTTAGTGGATTAGCATTAACTATAACTTCTCTAAGGACACGATTAGATAAGGGTACACTAGATGATATTTTAATT